TACTCCAAAGAACATTGTGGAAAAAACAAACACAGCAAACTGGTCTACCATTTTCACACCACTGTGAATCTGATTAAACTGCTTTATGCTTGGAATACAACTAGGATATGTCTGATAGGAATACAAACTGTTAACAGATTTTCTGTGCTTTTGGTTTGTCTTTTGCTTGGGGAAGAAGAAAAAAGAAACAAGATGGAAGAAATACATTTTGGCCTCCACTACAGACTCAGCATGCTCAGTTGACTGAATGGCTGTTGATAAGGGATGACTTGTGACAACAGTGCCAGACACACCACAAAAAAGTCAAATTGATGGACATTCAAAGAATGCCTAAAGACAGAGATTGACCTGCTTTGTGACACAGCCCCAAACGCAATAGCCAGCAACTTAACTAAATATCTCATAAGTGCCTTGTCAAATGTCTTTCCAACAGCTCTTCATTTCTGTCAGCTGAATTTTTCTGACAGCCTAAAACTGTAGTGTAGTCTCAGTATAACACAGCTGGTTAGCATTCCAATCATTTCTCTATCTCTGAGTATGTGCGTGTGAATCATCTGCAGCAGTACACTTGACGTGGGAAGGCAGAGAAGTGAGGATTAGGCTGATTATATTGAATTGTGCCCAGAGCACATGCAGAAAAGCAGCTACATTCTCATATTGATGCTTTTAAGCGCCCCCTTCTTCATTGACTGAGGGTGAACTTTGAATGAACTGAGTAAATTTTCCTTAATGGGCAAATTAGTAGTCTCAGTTGCAAGCCAACATCCTTTATTCCACTTTGTTTGTTTGATTTATTTAATTATGTATTCAATTATGAGTCAACCATGTCAAAAGTCCATGGGGGCTTTGTGAGCATAATACTGTTGCAATGATGTTCTTTTTACTCAACAAACTATTGTTTGGATGGTGGATAAACGTTCATTGAGACAACAATAGATTTATAAAAACATTTTAAAAAATGAAAGGTGGAAACTGAGCTAACCATACTGGTATTAATCATTGTGTAGATTATCAGGTTATTGTTTAATGTAAATCATTGCAGAATGCCACTAATCTTAAAATGATTAGTCACCCACTTGTACCAATTTTTAGTTACTTACCTTAATGTTCGTGTATGTATATTTTACTCATGATAAATGGCAGTGTGTGAGTAAGATATCGTTATGTTATGTTTAAGAACTATCCATATGGAATTATTTCTGTCTCACTGCTGTACAGATTGCTGTAATGATCACAAACGGACGTTCAGACGACCAGGTCGATGCCGCAGCCAAAGCAGTGGCTGACAATGGGATTTCTCTCTTGCAGTAGGTGAGCACGGAACTTGGTATTGTGAATTCCTCCAACATCCCCGCTGCAGCAGCTCCTCAGATTTTATCCGAGCTCTGCCGGCTTATCTGCAGTGTTTGCAGTTAGAAATTCATGTCCTGTACATTTGAATTTATTGGATTCAGTGTGGGTATTTGTGAGTGTGTGTACTCATGTTGCTGAGTGTCTGGCGCACTCATGCAGGTGTATGCACTGAATGCGTATGTGCAAACATAACAACATCTACTAAATATGTATGTAATAATGAGTGATTAATTCAGCTCCTGTACTGTGTTATGTAAAAGTGCACTTTCTGATACTGTGTGTTGCATCAGCAAAGCTACTTTATCCTACGCCTTTCCCCTCATGAATACACACTACTGCTTATCCACAAGTTTACATATCTTACCCTCTTTCTTCCACATGCATGCATAAGCACACAAGCCCACAACTTTACTCCTCTCAGCTGGGAGCGGTGCAATAATTACTGCTCATTAGCTCATGGTGTGCTAATTGCAGCCATTTTTCATTAGGCGATTCACTGTCCCCCATCTGCACCTCTGACACTGAGGCCTGCTCCCCTCGTTCATCACCTCCACGGAGAAGCTCTTCATGCATCTTGTGTACAAGTGCAAAACCAATATGCTTGTAGAGCCTGTGTAGCATGGATAACACATATACGTACAGATACATTCAAATGCTCTCTGCATACAAACAACTAGTAAAAAACAAATGCACGTTTATCTTTTCCAGATGGTGATTTCGAGCAACTGTAACTCTCCCACAACAACTTGTATTATGGTCATCTACATCATTACGTTAAGACAGCAGAACTTTTCAAGCCCAGACTGGGTCTTTATCAGCCCACACACTGGGCTCTGACAAACATACATAATGCCGTAACTTGAGATAGAGGCCAGAAAGCATTTGAATGAGCCTGTGTATGTCTTCAGTATACATGTGTATGGTTTCCAATATATCATTAAAAATGCCACAGCTCCACCTAGTGGTGTCTGTAGGAACATATGGAGAAAATGCATGTCAAACAGCAATGATGCCACATAATTATTCTCCATTTTTGGTATTCACTTGTTTTTATTGTGCATTAAACAAGTAAAATCTCACAGATATCAAAATCATGCCATATATGTAAAGCATGCCATTGATTATGTTAATTGTTTTTGAAAGGTTGTTTTTATCTTTCTTGGCAAATATCAGTGGACTAACTGTCCTGTTGCTGTATCTTTGTCACACACTTTTTTCCCATTGACTTTTTGTCTATCCTGTGAGCAGGTGTTAGGGAGCTGATGAGTTGGAGCTGAGGAGGATTGTGTCAGAGCCAATTGAGGAGCACCTCTTACTGGGCACTGACTACTCTCGTCTTGAAACCATCCTCGCCAAACTGTCCCGCAGAGTGTGTTTTACAGCCTCTGAACCACCACGTCCTGTGAAAATCTCCCAGCCTGGTAGGCTAGCAGTATGAATGCAAAGTTCTTCGTACCAAACTATTTCCTTAAAGCTGCCCTCACTGACAGCAGCTTGCATTTTTATACTGACAAATTGTGTTTCAAACTAGAGCTTGAAAAGTGTAATAAATGAATAATAGCTCTTATTTCACTCTGCCCTGCAGCTTTCTCAAGAAAATGGATCTATCTTGCTGACAGATTCTACATTCAGACCAACTTGCGTGTTTTATGTTCCTCTCCTCCTTTTCTCTCATTTTTTTCATCTCATCCCTCTTTGTACCTTCTCCCAACCCTAGTTGAAGAGCGTGTGGTGGGTCCCAGAGACCTGCAAGTTAGCGAGTTGGCCCACAGTTCCCTCAGACTGACATGGAGCCAGGCCACAGGTGATGTCACCGGATATCGTCTCCTGGTCACCCCTTCAACTCTAAGGGACACCTCCTCCCGCTACAGCAGACAGGTGATGTGTTATGCATGTGCGTGATCATAGTTTGTTTGCTATTGAGCTGGACTGTAACAGAGCACAGACTGTATTTTCATATCAGAAGTCCTATTGTTGGAACTGTTAACAATAGCTTACGGCACGACTTGCTGGAAAACCAATTTGGGACCTAGAGCACATCACAATCTGTTTTCTGCCAATGAACTCAATAACTCAAAGCTCAAACACTTTGATATAAACTAAAAATAATCTGTTAGATCTTATGAAATAAGCCTACATTGCTCAGCTCAAGCTCTGGGGAGATCAGACGTCTCCTGAAATTACTCTACTTGAAAAACTCAATAACCAGATGCTTCTCAACATTGCATTAATGAGCTCCACATGAACAGTGGTGTTGGCATTGATGTCCTTTTCTCCAACAATATCCATGCTTCTGTGGTTTTGCTTCTGCAATATGTTTTCAAGATAACACTGCAATCGTTTCCTTGACAGAGACTGAGAATTATGTTAGAGTACCAAAAGAGCAATACTTTAGTTGCTGCATTATGTTACAAGGCACAACATGCCACCTCATTTGAATATGATGGAGAAGAGGGTATTGGACAGAAGTATAAATAAACCATAAGGATGCTTACTAGTTTACAGAGGTTAACACTTTATTTAAGTACACATTTCAGAAGTATATCTGTGTTTTGCACTGTCTTTGTGTATTTCTCTCTTCTGCTCTGACTTCAACGCTTTCTTTATCAATTATCTTTCTCTTTACTTCAGTCTGTCTTGCTCTTTCTTTCTCACACAACCACACTCACTAAGCTGCTTCTCGTTCTGCTGTCTTCTGTGTATCTAACAGACTGATCTGAAGGCAGATGTGAGCACAGCAATGGTGATGGAGCTGAGTCCTAAAACAGACTATTCTCTCACTGTGTACGCCATCTACCCTAGCCTCATAGGAGACTCTGCTACAATCACCGTCCAGACAAGTGGGTGTCATACATCAGCGTGTGTACCCTTTTAGACACACATGAATCTGTTTTGGATGTCACTGAACTTCACAGCCCTGAACAACAAGTTTCTGTCTTTTAGCCCCTTTGCCTCAGGTGTCAAACTTCCGTGTTATTGAGCAGGGTCTTTTCTCTCTGCGCCTCGGCTGGACGCCTCCTCCGGGGAAGCTCAATGGATTCAAGATCTTCATCCCAAGATGTATGCTAACATTACACTTTGGAAGTATTATTTAACACAAGAGACATTGCAGTCCAGTATAAAAATGTTATGTGTGTTTTTGTGCCATTTATCATCATTATGATACACCTACGTATAAAATGTAAATCAATCATTTATATTCATTTAACAATGTTGAACTTAAGACATTTAGCATCACAGGAGAAGTTGTTTGGGATATATATTTCTTGGGTACTGATTCTTTGAGATTTTTGTCCTATAGCCACCCGACCAGGATTTATTTATGAGCACCTGCTTCCTGGAGACACCTCTTCTCATGTAATTGACAGCCTGGAGGAGGATAAGAAGTACATTATCAGTATTTATGCTGTTTACCCCCCAGGGACCAAGTGAACCACTCTCAATAGTGGGCAAGACATGTAAGTTTGTTGGCTTTTAACAAAACTCCATAATTTTATTTCTCAGACAACTAAGTAAAAATGATTATTACAGCTGAACAAAGTTACGGTTTGGTGTCCAGGCTCTTACCTCTTTACTCCCTATTGAGTTTATATGGAGATAAAGTGGGGAAAGGGATGAGCACAAGTATTTTTGCAGCTTAAATAGACCACCAATTGAGGAATGTGAGGCATGTCATGTGTGTTTTCAGTGCAGGTGGAGATGAATGCTTGAACTAGCTTGCAGGCGTTGCTTCATTAATTTACCTAAAAACAAAATCCAAAGACCAAAAGAACTTTCTTACACTCTTTTTACCATATGTGACACTTTTACACATTAAAATTTTACACATTATTGACTCCAAACAACTAAAGAAAAAGAGCCTGGACCACTGTAACCAATTAACAATTGCAGGACAAAGTCATGTTATAGAGAATAAAACCAGAGACAACACAAGGAAGCAAATGCTAAGGTGCAGTACCATGATATATCCACACTAGGGTGATGTTGTTCTATTGAAAATACCAGCAGTATGTCTACTAGATACAGTAATTTCATCTATTCTGTTTCATGGTACTAGAGAAAACTTCTAGATGCTATGTTTTGATTTTGATTATTATGTATTTCATTACATTATTTTAAATAGTTCTTCTCTATCAAAGGTCTGAATCAAATAGCCTTACTTTCTGTGATAACTATAATTTTGTGGATCGATTTTGTGTGCGTGTTTGTGTGGATGTGGTGTGTTCCACAGTAAAGCTGGTACAAGTTCAGGAGTTTCGGGTCCAAAACGCCACCACAGACACTGTCCAGGCGAGGTGGGCATCAGTTAGGGGTGCCACAGGATACCGTCTGACATGGGCATCCCCAGGTACTCTTTGCTACGTAATTGTACATGGGGGTGTTACAGAGACTAAACCAGATCTTATATTATGGCATTCAGCTATTCAGTGCCTCTGTGTCTCTCTGTGTCTTTCAGACGACCACATAGAAAACATAAACCTCGGGGACACCTTTAACTATTACATGATCCAAGGCCTCCGCTCAGGCTCTGAGTACACCATCACCATCAACCCATCTTTGGAGACACTGAGGGGCCCATCACTGCCACCAAAGTCAAAACATGTAACTAGGATTCTTGCTAGAGAGTACAAAAATACAGGAATGAGCAATGGTTACTTTATTATAGATACAGACATGGCTAGATTTGAAGATGCATAACAGCCCTCTTTGGCTTTCTCTCTGTGTGTCAGTGGAAAGCAGTGCAGTACAAACTTTGAAGGTGTCGGCTGTGAGCACCAGCACTGCTGTCATCTCATGGAACAGTGTCCCAGGAGCCACAGGATACAGACTGGCCTGGGGACCCACCCCAGGTGATTTACTCTCACTTTCAACCCTCCTGTTTTATTTGTTAAAGTAGGTCTGTAGTATCTAGTAGTATCTGGTTCTTCTTGTGATACATCCCATGGTGCTTGTATATATAAAATGTCTCTACATTGATGAAGCACCATACAGCCCAATGATGTCTTTCTACAGCAAGTGGCGGGTAAAGGGTATTTGCTTTTGTTTGCATGTATGTATGCATGCACGCATGCCCAGCCTTTCTTCTACTGTTGGCTTGCTCCCTTTCTCCCAGTGACAGATTTACTCTGACAAGAGCTTTTGAAATGCCACTGCTTTTATAATGGACACATCCACCCTGCCGGTCTGCCAGGAGGATGTGACAGGTGGCATAGGGACTCACTTTGATGAAATACAAAAGGGGGGAAAAGGACGAGGTTATGATTTCCAGAGAAGGGGGCTCTGATGCTGAGCCAGAGTTGAGAGAAATGCCAGAACATTGAGGAATAATCAATTGAAAGAAAGAGTGATGTGACTGTACTGTCAACGTTGATATTTTTTTCAGAGTTTATTGGCCGGGACCGTCCCAGGCAGTTGGCTCTGAACGGCAGCACCACAGAGTACCAGCTGAAGAATGTAGCCCATGATACAGAGTATGTCCTGACTCTCTATGTGCTGTTTGGATCTGTGGTGGGACCTGGCATCTCTGCTACCTTCAAAACTTGTGAGTACAAGTATTCAATGTCTCCCACCCACCTGAAGTACCACTGAAGTTTAGATTGGACTACAATTGGTTGACTGCAGAGATTTGTGCCAAAATATTTTCTTGTTCTTTCTGTGTGTAGAGTCATCTTATTCATCTAGAAAGTATCATTCCAAGTCAATATATACAGGTGCTGGTCATATAATTAGAATATCATCAAAAAGTTAATTTATTTCAGTAATTCCATTCAAAAAGTGAAACTTGTATAATGTATACATTCATTCCACACAGACTGATTTATATTTATATTTCAAGTGATCATTCCTTTTCTGTGTGTAATGAATGAATATAATATCCAAGTTTCACTTTTTGAATGGAATTACTGAAATAAATAAACTCTTTGATAATATTCTAATTATATGACCAGCCCCTGTAATGATGCATGAGTTAAATAAATAATAAATTAAATTAAGATTATACTAATTTGTATTAGAAGTGCCTGGAGATCAATTCACCGTCTTTTAACAGTAACTTAACACCAGGCTGAAAAACAGGATTGCTCTGCCCTGTCTGGTTGAAAGTTTCATTGCTGGGTGTTGCACTTGAAACCCCCCGGCACAGTGTATTGATACACCCTGGAGTACTACATCTAGAAAGCTTTGACAGAAAAAAATGTACCCACTTGTCATGAATCTTTCTGTTTCATATTATCGATTAAATAATGTAATTGACAATGTATTGTTAGAGCAAATGCAGGTTATTCATGTTCATGATCTTCCTCTTTTCTCAGCTCCGTTGGGCTATGTGTCCAACTTCAAAGTGACATCCTACACCAGTACCTCCATAGATGTGGAGTGGAGTCCCATTGTTGGCGCTACCGAGTACAAACTCTCTTGGAAGTCAGGTGATATATTTACCCATTATTTTCTCTGCTCCATCTCCAATATGGGGACTATTTATGTTTTCACAGGTCAGTCAAATTTACTTTCTGTTTGTATACTTGTCAGAGAACCTTTTGATGCCTTTAAAGACTATATATCTAAAAAAACAGGAATGGGAACTGTGGGAGTCACTCAATATTCCTGCATTGCAAGTAATATTGTGTTATGTGTATCTGTGCTTATGTACCTTCCTGTTTACAGATGATAGCAGCCCTCTGTCCCGTTACCTAGACCATAGTGTTCTTTTCCATCGTATCGAAGACCTGAACCCACAGTCCACCTACACAATCACCATCTGTGCAGTGTACAGCAACTCAGAGGGACCAGAAATCTCCTTATCTCAGCTCACAGGTACAGAACGGAAGTTAGGTCTTGCAGTTTATTTTAACTGATTGTGATTCATCTTTAGATCTAAATAGCTCTGTGCAGCTGTGCATCCCTTTGTAATTAAATGGGTAGGGACAGTGGGTTTCTCAATCCCATGCCACAGCAACCCTTGTGGTGTCTTTGTTTGACTGACAAGTCATGTACTTTGGTCTTCCTATTTTAACCACAGTTCGTGTCATTGTCACTTGTAGTATGTGTCACTGAGTCCAAGTCAGCAGAGCTGCTATCATTTTATCACTGTCACTGTCAAAGTTGGTATGTTACACCAGCTCCAAGTGCCAAATTTATTACACTGACAAATGATAGTGTGTGAATAAACCAGCTCATTCAGCTCAGAGATTTTGGATTGCTCTAAATTTAATGATGTTTTTATAGATATTTTATGCATTATGAGTGGAACTGATTAGAATTTTGGGGGAAATAAATTTTAATGTGATTCACAGTTGTAAATTTATAAAGAATTGTGTTTGTATGGTATTATTTTTCAGCTGCAGTTTCAGACTCGGAGCCTATTCAGGCAGTGAGGGAGGTGAAGGTTGTGGATATTGGAGTAAACTCTTTCACCCTTTCCTGGAGGAAAACACAAGGTGCATCTGGGTACAAAATCTCCTGGATTCCGTTCTTGGGTGAGGGACCTCACATACAGTCAACCATGTGTACATACAGTTTAGAGTTTAAAGCCAGTGCCTGACACCTATAACCATTTCACTGTTAATTCAATGCCTAACTATAATCCCAACCCTATTCAAGTGTTGCTAAGCAGTGGCATCATTTAACTGCAACATTTCTTGGAAATCAGCATTTTCACTATACTTTTGCATAATTGGTCATTTTACGTAGCTCTTAAAAACTCACTGTTTGGACTCCTGTGGCTCATTTCAATAGAGTTTTTACAGTAAATGAGTACACAGCACTATTATTTCACACTCTGATTATCTCTATATGCTGGATTTGTGTTATTGTCTGCTGTAGGGGGTGATGAAAAGTCGCACAAGGTATCTGCTGCTTCAACCACCTTCACTATCCACAACCTGCGGGAGAGCTCAGCTTATAAGATCCAGGTGTCTTCTATGGTGGGCAATAGAGAGGGAAGCCCAGTCCTCGTCACTGCTCGCACCTGTGAGTCCTGCCTGAGATATACAATGGTATCAGATAGGGAATTAGTATTGGCAGATATCCTGAATTGAGATATCGAAATCAGTATTTAGTGAGAAAATATTGAACAGTGCATCTCTATTGTGCATGGTTGTATATAAATATTAATTATCCTTTGATTGACATGTTTCAATGTATGCAGCAAAAGTAATAATCTTGATTTTTTTTCCTGTTCTCTAACATACTGTATGACTGAGTAAATCAAACATGGTCCTGACGTATTTTGTTTGTTCCTTTCACGTGTTACAGTGGATCTTCCAAAAGTGAATGGCTTTGCTGCTCTGAACACTACAGACAGCAGCACTATTCTGAACTGGACACGTGTGGCTGGCGTCTCTGGATACCTTCTCTCCTGGAGGCACATCTCAGGTCAGTGGTCACCCTCTATTTAGCATCACGTTAACATGAATGCAATTTTCAGTCAAATTGTTAACCCAAAGAGGCACACTGTTTTGTTTTAAAGAGGCATTGGTTTGAAAACTTTATTTATTTGAATACATTCCAAGTACAGTGTGACAGAAATAAAAAATAATTTTTGTTGACTGTCCCAGCGGGTTTGAAGTGGATAAGTAGCATGTTATTGCACTGTGTATTGATTCTCAGCATAAGCACCCTTTTGTTGAAATGGGAAATATTAAGAAAAACAAATCCAATATTCATGTTTTATCATAAATGCAGAGTTTTACAAGTATTTTTTTCCTTTGGTAGGCAGTGGTTGTAATTTTAGTAACAATCTGATATAAGTGAGTGACAGTGTTGGAGAGATAAAATATCTCTGAAATACAGTAAACAGACATAATGTAACACACATGACAGAACTTGTATTAGATCAAATGTGTCACACATCATTGTATTTAGACACATTGATAAGTCAGTTGATTTCAATAGGAAGGCAAGTTTTCCTATTCCTGTTATTCCTGAACATTAAATCAGCTGAAATGCTTTTCTTTGTGTGTCTTTTCAGTGTTGGAGATCAAAACAGAGACCCTGGGCCCTGGTTTTACCTCCTATAAGATCAACGATTTGCAGTATGGAAGAACTTATATTTTTACCATCAGACCTTTGTATGGAGAAGTGGAGGGGCCTATAAGCACTGTGTATCAGAGAATATGTAAGTCATTATTCAAAAGGTTTGAATCTGGCATGCTACAAAATGCTTGTTAATTACACAGGATATACGTACACTTAAAATGTATCTATATTTTCCCACTCATGTCATAATGAAAGTATACTAGTTTAATATATGATTGCATTGAGTTAAACACTCTTCTTTAATCTAGTCGTACTATAGGGTAAATCCACCTGTGACCTGTTTAGCTAGACTGAAGAGTTAAAAAAAACTAAATGCCTAAATAGCATCAGTTAGTTTAGCATAGTCAGATATTTCTGTGTCGTTCTAAACTGCATGAACACTACTAACTCTGAAACACATACATTAATAAAATATTTTTTGAAAAAGATTTGCACTTAAGTTTAATAAGTTTCTTTGCCCTCGACATAATATTCCTGGCGTATGTTGCAGCTCAGGATGCTTACAGGGACTTCAGTTTACATAGTTGATTGCTTTTGATTGGACAGCACCACAGATGTTTCCCAGCAACTATACTAGCAAAAAAGTTTTAATTGTGCAAATGAGACAATCACTAATTTGAAACCTGTGTTAATCTCAGTGGGACATGATCCTCCGGTGGTTACAGTCCAGTCTGTGCTTGCCACACTTGCCCCCCATTCTCCTCATATCACGACTGCCTCCATCACCAACACGACCATCTCTCATGGAGCCACCAGGACCACCCGGCACCCCATTGCTGTGCCACCAACTAAATCCATAACCACCAAGAAGCCTCCAGGTCAGCCAAGTGTCACTGAAGCCAAAGAGGCAGGAGTCACCTCCCTTCGATTAACCCCATTCACTGCAAAGACAGCAGCTCCACCAAGACCAGGTATTTTAGAGAGATCTACAGTGTGACGGTGTGTAAATAAGAAATAGAGAGTATTGGCTTCTTATACACATTAAATTGTGGAAATGTATTTAAGATTTGTGTTTGTGTTTTGTTCAGTGTGTGGTAAGGCCAAAGCAGACATAGTATTCTTAGTGGACGAGTCTTCCAGCATCGGCGCTAACAACTTTATCAAGATAAAGGACTTCATGTTCCGGGTGGCCACATACTTCCCAGTCATTGGTTCTCAGGCCACACAGGTTGGTCTCTCAGTAAAAACGTTCTTTGTTTTATGTTGTGGTGATGATATGGCTTGAGGTGTATACTGTACTTTGCTCTCTTTGACTGTACATTTGTTTAGTGTAGTAGGACAATTACAAACTGGACTGGATTGCAGTGACTATAAATGATGATAGTTGCTGCAAGTTAGCAAACTGCTCCAGTGAGTGTCTTGTGCCGGCCAGTATGATTTTCAGTAACACTATGTGCAATTCTTTCACAATGTGGGCAGAATCTGTCTCAAACATTAGTAGAAAGGATAAACAAGGCAGAATGCCACATGGCTTGTGATTGGCTAAGTGAAGCAGAATTATAGCTCAAAGTTGCATCACATTCAATTTAGTGAACATGATGATGTTGTGTTGATGTGTATTTTCTCCATTAATCTTCTCTCAGATAGCAGTGGTTCATTACAGTGATGAGCCTCGAATTGAATTCCGTCTAAATGAATTCAAAGACAGAAACTCTGTGCTCAGAGCCCTCAAAGCACTACGTTACAGAGGAGGCAACACCAGAACAGGTTAGTGATGCACACAAATGTGCACATTTCTTTTCATATTTAGGTCCTGCTGTTGATATCGCAGCCTCTAACAGCTGTCATGCTGGTGGACAGAAAATATGCTATTCTTGGTCCCTCGAACATATAGATTAGTATTAGTACTGACTGCTGACGTAGCAAGTATCATTTCACATAATCTCATCAAAGAAAGGTTTCACTGTGCAGGCTATACTGTACTATATGTCATGTAATAAAAAATGTTCCAAACTCAGAGTGTATCTTTAATTGCATTCATTTGAGTCAGAGATTTAAAGAAAAAGTGAACATTATATAAATGATAAAAAATTGTCCCATTTAATGACTCATTTATAAAAAATATAATAAATTAGTCATTGTTTTTTATGGAAGGTTAAAAACTTAAACCTGAAACTTGGCTTTTGACTAGAATGTTTTATGGCCATTAAATTTTACTTAAATAATGGCCCAAATTTTGTCTATTTTTGTTGATTGTATTATTAACTTTTATAATTTCTGGTATGCATTAGTCTAAGATTATTTTGCTGTTCATATTTAAATATCTTATCAGCTTGTTGTATGTACAGTATGTGTTGTATGTGTTTATGAAAAATAAAAATAGAAACAGTGCTGTGCAGACAAGTAAATTTAGTCTACCTGCATTTATCAGAGCAAAACTCTCCCAGTGGTTTAATTTTTTTTGTCTTTATACACTTGTGTACCCCCAGGAAAAGGCATCAGCTACGTTCTGCAGGAACTGTTCCTAGAGTCTCTGGGGATGAGGCAGAATGTGGCTCATGTTCTGGTTCTGATTACAGACGGCAGGGCCCAGGATAATGTGGTGCCACCCTCCAGAATTGCACGTGCTTTGGGTCAGTTATTGTAAAGCCGCTAAAATGGTGTCGCTAATGGCGAGTTTTAAAGAAGCAAATTGTTTTTTTTTTTAATCGATATGTAACAAACAAGACTTCAAACCTGCAGGTTTTTCCTGGGTTATCATGTTTTGAATCTGTTTCTCTCTAGGCGTCAGTGTCCTGGCAGTTGGAGTTTCTAATGCAGACATTGAGGAGCTGAATAAAATAGCAGCACCCACCAGCTACAAAAATATCTTCTACTCACCCACTTTTGATGACTTCTCTTCCATTGAGAGAGAATTTATCAATAGCATCTGCAGTGAGGAACTGCTGTCGGAGTTTGAACTATATGAAAAGGCAAGACAGAAACAAAGCAAAACTATTATATCTTTTGTTGTTATAACATTGAACTAATTAGAGTTCAATTAGACTTGAGAATAAATTTCAAACAACATGTGATATTCATGCATGCGATTGAAGCCAAGTTTTACAACTGGCTGTGTTTTAGTGTTTTAGGTGATTGAATTTTAATCAGATCGCTATACTAAAGTTGCACATGTAAATGTACCTTAAAGAGGTGGTATTATGCTCATTTTCAGGTTCAAAATCTTATTTAGGGGTTGTACCAGAACAGGTTTACGTGGTTTAATTTTCAAAAAACACCATATTTTTCTCATACTGCACATTGCTGCAGCTCCTCTTTTCACCCTGTGTGTTGTATGCTCCGCTCTTGAGCTACAGAGTGATGCATCTTACTTGTACAAAATCTTTGTTGTGAGTTGCACATGCGCAGTTCCCAGGACTACTAGCCAATCAGAAGCAGAGAAAAATTGACCAAACAAGTCGCTCAGTAGCTTTCACATCAGGTGTAACATTAGCATTATAGCTATAACTTTAGCAGTGTTAGCCAACGTTTACAACAACTCCGCACTTGAACAGTCTGTGAAGTTACATTGCCGTGTTTATTTTAAATATGATTAACAACCAATAAAGCATACTTACAGGTTGTGATTGTGAATTTCCAGGCAGGAGTTGCATCGTCTTTTAGGACTAAACGTTGAACTGTTGTGTTCTGACGATCTATGCTGCCTTGCCGAAAAATGCTACCGTAGCGCAAATCGATAGACTCGACTCTACTCGGCCCTGCTCCGTTTTCCATTACAGATAGCACCCAGAGATAGTGCGTAGCTTGTCGTGAACCTCAACCTCAACGGAGGTGAGGTGATACGTAAAAAAGTACCTGGAAGCAGGTACAGGTACAACATTTCTACAATGGAAAACCAAACAAAGGCGAGTGGAGCCAAAGGGCCTCCGCTCAGACTAGCTTGGTTTGAGTGCGTGCCTGACCTCGCTAGATGCTTGGCAAGCTTTATGACGCGTTTTCATTGTTACGTCACAAGTATAGGAAGTGACTGGACTACAAGCGAGCTGTTTTCAAGCGATTCAGAGCAGAGCTTTCTGTGGGAGATAGGAACTCCCTTTGTTCTGGACTTTGGGCTTTTTCGCTTTGCAAACCTGTTACATGCACAAAAAACATATATAATTCAATAAAGGAGAGGGGAAAAGCCAAAAAGCATAATACCACCTCTTTAAGATGTATAGGAGAGGTCGCCTAAGCCACAGATGTTTGTGCATGCATGGTGACCCTGTACTACATAAATGTAAATCTAATCACTTTTTTTAATCAACTCATAAGGACTCTTTAAACACTTCAGCAGTCTTGAGTTCATTTTGACATCAGAGCTGTGGAGGATGTGCATTACATAGCCATCTTTTCCCCTGTATTCTAAATGTCCTTGATCAGTACGTGATGAATACTGTTTTTTCTCGTTTCCATTTTCAGATTGCTCAGTTGGACACCCCGACTGAAGACCCAGAAGGGCTGCTAAAGCCTCAGGGTCCCTGCCCCTCTGAGTGTGTGAAGGTAGTGACTTCAGACACAAAATACTCCACAACCCCCCCACCCCACCCCACCACCACCACTTTAGTCATCATTGATCATCATCACTATCAGTATAGGCTAATATTAGTCGTAGTGCAACCAAACATGTGAGAGGGTACTAATCACCACATGACATGACCATTCAATATAAATACACATAAGCATTGATATTGCTTTTTGGTCCTAAACAGCAGGACAGTGTGTCTTTTCTTCTCTTGTATCCTGGTTAGATTTTTTTTTTCAGATTGGTGCTGACATTAATATGAACTTCTCACATTAACAATGGTTTGATTAATGAGATGTTATGAGTTGTTTTCTTATTAATCATTGTTCTGGGTGTATTACATCATCAACTATTAATCATATTAATTGTTTGTTTATCCAGGGCCAGAAAGGGGAACCGGTGAGTTAACTTAATGTTGTGTTAAAGATTAAATAGATTTTTTTTAATGTGCGCAAAAGCAGTGTTATTTATTTTCAGTATTCTAACTCTCATTCTTTCAGGGAGATGGTTTTGGTCTTGGAGGACTGGTATGTTTGATCAACTTTTCTTCTCTGCATTATTAAACCTGATAAGTGAAAAGCTAATACTTTTGTCCCACATTTCCATACATTTCCATCGACTGTTCTCACTTTGCCGTGCATTATTGTACCCTCATTGCTATTAATTAAACTTTATTATCTTTATTATTAATACATTTTTTAGAATAACCATTACTCTTTTTTTGTTTATGTAGAGATTTAGGCCAAGCCCTGGAAACTATGATCCTTTTACTTCTTCCAAAGGAGAGAAGGGAGAAAGGGTAAGAATCAATAAACATACACACAATAAACACTAACACCGTTCTTGTCATTGCCATCATCATTGATAATCATTTATTGTCAAGATTACCTTACCCATGTGTTTGGCTGAATCTGCTGTACATTTTATTATATATGCAGCATGAACATGAGCTGTTTAAGTAAGTGCACTGCCACTACTACAAGGTTCTTTTGTAGTGGGGTCATTGATGAGCAGGGTAGCTGTAACTTTGACAGTAGAAACAGCAATAGTCACAGTCACTGACAGAAGGTTAAAGTATAACACAAAAATTAACAAAAATAAAATAAGGTGGAGAGCAGTAAGTCAGTTTCTTCAAATTATTCCAGTTATTTTCACCTCTAATGCTCTCTAAAGCTGGAGTTCCAAACAGCTGTTTAGTGTTGTTTTGCATAAAAGCTTGTTTATCCAAGTTGTTTTTTTTCTTCTCTCCATTAATTCATTTGTTCAATCCACATGGGCCAAGGGTGCTGCGAGATTTGTTCATTTCCATATTGTTATTATTATCTCAAGTACATTTTCAAAATATAATACATTTTTCAACACACCAAAACAGAAGAAAATAACAAAAATCACAATCATCATATTAAAAACTCTGTTTGCAGTTTCATTAAATTCATTAAATTCATCATCATTAAATTTGCAGTTATGCCACAGCTAACAGTTGCCTGTTGTCAAAGTAATGATGGTTGCAGTGAAGAAAAAATAAGAAGAAATGGGAATTACTATCTTAATCTGGACCCAGGATGGCTTTATCTATAAAGTGAATGTGACAGTGTCTTCATCATGTCAAAACACACATTTCTACCCTTTGTTGGGTATTGACAGATTCACAGTTCAATATTTGGAGATCTACAAACTATGCTGGTTGTATCTGGTTTAGAGAGCAGATGTGCATTATCGAGCTGTTCAGTTTCAGGTAAAAAGGTATAAGACCATCTTCAGCAATGTGGACAGATTAGTTCAAATAAGTCAGTAAACAGTCTGTTTACTGTTACCCATTCCTTGAGTCAGTTACAGTAAATGTTAACACAACTGCTCTGTCCTCATGAGTCAATATCAAATTATTGTTGTTATTATTTTTTCCTTTTCACTGTATCCAATCTCATAACCCTGCTGTGCTGTATGAGTGAGTGTTGCTTTGCGGTGTATGTCTATAATTACATTTTCCAACACAGACCATGATGTTTTAATATGACAGGGACCTCCTGGAACAGATGGTGTACCTGGGTTGCCAGGACGACCAGGGAGAACTGGACCCCCAGGTTCTGCCGGCCAACGGGTAACTAAATTAGAAAAAACAAAACCTCCCACTGACCTGGTTAAAGTTTATTTCATTTATGTCTGACTCTGCAAATGATATTTGTTGTGGTTTTTTTTCAGGGCCATACAGGTATTCCAGGTGATATGGTAAGATCAAAATAAAAAATAAAGTTAATAACAAAAGTAAACCTTTTTATGGAGCATTATGTCGGGTCACCTGGCTAAAACTCAGATCATATAAATGTGAGGCTAAAAGAAAGTGGATTTAATATTTTAAGTATTATCTATCTGCACTAAGCAACTTTTATTTGTCAGACAGGAAGTGGAGTTTTATATTCTCTGTTAAAAAGAATTTGGGGGCATTTTTTACCTTCAGTGGATAGAGCACAGATAATGACGGGAAAGGGTCTTAAGCCTATAGGGTATCATATGCTGTATATAGTGTGAAGCGTTTTACAAGCAAATTTGTAATTTTGAGATATATAAAAGTTATGAAAGTAACTTTTATATATACAGTATATACTATCGCAAGATGGGTAAACTTATGACATTGACTTGAGTGAAAAGTGGGGGTGACAAGCAGCAGCGGTTCCCAGAATGGCAGTTATTTTATGGTCAGTGTCTTAAACGTAAGCAGGATGCCTCACCATTAAACCTTTTATTGTTCTACACGTCTATCGGAATATTAAATTGGTCAATATTGGTTATATGAATATAATTATCACTCTTCACGTTTCTTTCCTTGGCAGGGTCTACCTGGACTCCCTGGTCCAAAGGGCCAGAGAGGAGAGAGAGTAAGTCTAATTTGCATTTAATTTAGACTGATTGCTTCCTGCAGTGAGCTCATGACACCATTTACTACCGGATTTATCTACTTGTAAAGTGATTTTTGTGTGTGTTTCCAATAAGGGAGAGCCTGGATATGTTATAGCTGGCACAGACTCAAATTTCGTTCCTGGACGAAAAGGGGAACCAGGATCTTCAGTGAGTCCTCAAAAAGAAACATTTTTGGAGTTTTTTCAACAGTGAACTTCAGGACAACTAAAACATTATTTACTGCATGTTATAGGGTCCCCAGGGACCTCCTGGTATACCGGGGGTCAATGGCGCTCCAGGCCTACCTGGCCAGTCAGGACCACCAGGGTCACCAGGAATATCTGTCAAGGTAACATGGATCAGTGAACACAGTAACAGCATCATGATGTTTCAATGCTTATGATATGTAATGTGTAAAGTTATAGGTAATGCATATTTGTGGTGTCCGAACGATAATGCTGCGATGATGTGTTGAGAAGAAATCCGCTTGACACTGTTCTTGATTATAAAAGTTTATTACATCAAAGAATTCAGCATCAATTACAAGCTCTGCAGCAGCTTGGAGAGTGACCCAGCCCGATAACCACTCTGTCTCTCTGTACATTGAACACAGCTTATATAAGACATGTTTAGGTCTCTGCTAAATACCATATAAGGGCACAGTGCTGTAGACTAAGTGTAACCATCTGTTAGACACCACTTCCCCTACCACTGTGTCTCTCTCCAGCTCTGGGTCAGGGGTCAAATTCTATAGGAGGGTTCACTCTTGGTTCACCCATCAATCATTACTTCCTCATAAGGGTTCACTGTTCCTCTCACCAGCTGCAGAGCATTATATTAAACTGTAATGTCAAAAGCATATGTTATACACCACATATTTAATCGCATATTGCAATGATGATTATTTCACAGTACGTAAGTATCACAGCATCATATTACATCATGTTACTGTATATCAGTCCAACCTACAGTATTCAGTAAGAAGTGTCACAAAATGCTTAAACATGTTTTGACAGCACCAAACACAATCGACCAGAGTTGTTTTTACTGTTTGCACTTTATAGGGTGACCCCGGGGAGCTGGGAGCAAAAGTAAGTATGAAGGCTGATTTGCATCCTTTTAGAAGTCTTTTTATAAGGTTGCACTGTAAAATTTAATTTACAGCATAAATATCATGCATCATTAATTTTGTCTACTTGCATATTAAGCCTAAGTTTAATGATTCAGAATCAGATGTTATTAGTTCTGAAAAATGAATTGCTTCATGGTTTATCTGATAATACTTTCATTATTTTTGAAAGGGTTTACGTGGGAAGCAGGGTGTGAAAGGAGACAAAGGAGAGTCGGGAAAAGATGTAAGTGCATGGTTGATAAAGTTATTAGGAGTGGCAAAATGCATTGGATAACACAAAATTTTTATTCAGAGATGCCCTCGGAAAATCAATTTGCATAATGTGACATTTTTTCTCTCTTCTTTGTTTCTTTCTTGCCGTCTCTCACACACAAACTCTAACATACACGCATGTATATGCAAACTACTGTAGGGTATTGCAGGTTTGCCTGGTCCCATTGGCAATGATGGAGTGCCAGGTTTACCAGGTCAGAAAGGAGAGAAGGTAAAAGTGTTAATTAATCACGAAATTACAGCTTTTGCACTTGACCAGTCTACTAAAAAGACACGAAAATATGCCTAATAGATGTAAATCTTTTGCAGGGTGAAGAAGGAATTGGCATACAAGGTATTCAAGGTCTTCGTGGAGAACCAGGAGAGAAGGTACATCACAATCAACTTGAGAAGAAAGAATAATATGAACCATAAGTTTATTATTAGTATTATCATTTTATTTAGAGTCGAATACAAACTTTAATCATGGTTCTGAAATAGATAAAGTCATCTAACACGTCTAGCATAATAAAAACAACAGGGTTGTTGTATTATAGACTGATTGTTAACATGGAATGTGATTGCTCTTTATGAATTCATATGAAATCCAATTTTTGTTTCAATATTTGATCTATTGATTTGCAGGGAAATATTGGCTTAATTGGACCAGTTGGGCCAAAGGTAACAAACATGAAAATACATTTGAACATGAGGTAGTCTATATACTCTGAATGTGACATGTTTTTGTTCAAATCCGTTTGTAGAAAAATATTTCCTATGTAATTTATCTTTTAAGGGTGATCTTGGAGAGCAGGGCATCCAAGGAATCATCGGACCTCGGGTGTGCACTTCCTTATCATTATCTCCTGTTTCTGTCGATGACTTCTTGCAAACCTTACCCTCAAATGCAAACAAATTAATGCTAGCTTAGTTTAATGAGATGAAACCAAACCTATTTCATTAAGGGTGTATATTGTGTAAGAATCAGTGATGAAAGGATTCAGAGGAAGTGGTTTCTTTTTACCTGCAGGGTAAGAAGGGATTCAAAGGGGAGCAAGGGGACAAGGTAAGTTCATCCTACACACATGGCCACTCGCTCTTCATTAGGCTAAAATTTGCATGATAATTAATATGATCAAGTGAAAGAATCAATTTAAATAACACTGGCATCACACCGGAATCAAAATGTGTGCATGTGAGCGTGTGCTTGCATATGAGTGCAGTTTTCAAAGTTAGCTTAACACATTTTTGTCTCAGGGAGAACGAGGAGAGATGGGACCAATGGGACCACAAGGACCCACAGTGAGTGAGGATTACATCTTATAGAATGTGTGTGAAGTTGGCGATGCACATATATGTACACATTTCAGCTACTTCAGGTTGACATTTGCTGAGAGAAAATACTCCTTAAAAATCCTAATTGCTTTCACTTACTCACTTGAGCACATTAATATCCGCTTTCTAATAAATTTTTGATTACAAAGAAAGGCTGAGGCAGATACAATATATTTATTTGGGAACAACTCTGAAAACTGTCTGGAAATGCTGGTGATCCACTATTTCCCAAAACAGACATTTACATTGATAAATGAACAAATGAGGAAGCCATTTTGTTCTGGGTTTTTAAGATTAGGCTCTACCAGAGATGGTTATGATTGCATATGATCATGAGCCAAATTGTCAAACCTCAGTGGGTATGTTTTGCATTTTGTCCTGCATCAGTGATTTTTCATTTGAGGCAGCATAGTCCTTTGGAAGAGACTATCACCAAAAATGCCGACATGAGGACCGTCTTCCTGTCTTTTGTAATACAGTCTGTTAGCTTTGAACATAACAGCTGGTTAACAGAAGATAGCAGAGAGTGATAGATATTGTTTAGAATATATTTTAGAATATTTTTATTTTTAGAATATATACTTTAATTAAGATAGCTGTTGGAAGAGAGGCTTGGAGTTAACTCAATCATAATAGAAACAGCAATACAGAATTCAGAACTTCACTTCAGTTTCAGTTCAGCTAATCTTTATTGTCTCATTGGGGGAAAATAGTTTTACAGCCAGGCTTCAATAAAATGAAGGACAAAATACAAAAGGACAACGTCAACAACAACATCTACACAAAATCAAAGAATTAATTCAGTAAACTGGAAAGTCCTACCTTTTACAAATAGCCGATATACAAATGTGCAAATTAACAGAGTGAATATACAATATAATGTGTCCGAGAGCTGCCATTAAGCATAGCGATGGCACTTGGGATGAAGGAGATTCTGCAGACAATAGTCCTGAAATGGCAGCCAAAGGGCAATAGCTCAAACTCTGGAGTGGATGGTCCTGGCAGTCAAATACAGAATTAGCCCTCCTGTTAGAAATCTCAGAGGGCCTGGCATGGCTCTCCTCTGAGATCGGGCTGGCCAATTTGACAAGACTACCAAGCCTGTTTTTATTGGACAGATTAAGGTTTCCAAACCATGCTGCATTCATTATCCTCAACAAGAAAAGTCTTCAGAACTTTTTATTTACAGTATCTCACAAAAGTGTGTACACCCTTCACATTTTTGTAAATATTTGTTTATACATATATATATATATATATATATATATATATATATATATATATTATACACCCAAGTGTACTTACTTTTGTTGCCAGTGGTTTAGACATTAATGGCGGTGTGATGTGTTATTTTGAGGGGACAGCAAATTTACACTGTTATACAAGCTGTACACTCACTACTTTACACTGTAGCAAAGTGTCATTTCTTCAGTGTTGTCACATGAAAAGATATAATCAAATATTTACACAAATTTGAGGGGTGTACTCACTTTTGTGAGATACTGTACCTTGATTATTCTAGGGACTGACGGGGCCATTGGGGTTAAAAGGTGATGAGGGTCCAAGAGGAGCGCCTGGGGATCCTGCCAAGGGTGTAAGAAAACCATTTCCCTCATCTTTACTTTAGAAGTAGAAGTACTTGATACTCACACTCAGTCTTCTTCTTCCCGTTGCAACAGATAATTGGCCCAACAGGAAAAAAGGGTGCCAGGGTAAGTAAAAAAAGTCTGAAAAAAAGACTTTTTTAACTTCCCAGGAAAGAAGTTTTTCTCTGGCAGCATACAGCATCATGGTACCTATATTTTGACACATATTTTGTTACATCCACATATTTTGTTACATCCTTGTTAGGTTTTCCCAATTGGTTCAAAGATTGAAACTCTAAATGGTTTGCCTATATTTACCTTAACCGGCTTAAAAGTCAGTCAGAGGGAAGTGATTCTCTTAATGTTTTATTCTGTCGAGATGTTAATTAATTGTTCAGGGTATTCTTGCGCTGTCAGACTCAGTCCTCTGGGTCCACTTATCAAACACAATTAATTTTTTCTCTTTAGCTTTAGCACTGGGACGGGAAGCTCCATTGAATTGGACCTATTTAAACTCTGTCCACAGGGTACCATTTAAAGTGAAGAGTTTTGTTTTGAAACTGTTGCGATAATTTGGTGACCTGACATTTTTCAGGGAGACATTGGTCCAGTCGGCCTCACAGGTCCCCAGGGAATAAAGGGTGAACGAGGAGACAAAGGAGACAAGGTTAATAATGACAAATACTGTACATCATGCTTGTCATTTCTGCATGTTGTCATTTTTCTGATTCACTAATATAGTTAGTAATTAGTGTAGAATAACTGTATGTATAGATAAGTGTGTGGTTTTGATGTGTGCAGGGCAGTCCTGGTTTTGGGATTCCAGGACAGCAGGGACCAAAGGGTGAAAATGGCGAGAGGGTGAGTTACCTGACAAAGTGAAATCACTCATTTAACTTGTCGTCATTATATAATACTGTAGCAGAAGTTGATTGATATTATATTTATGCTTCGTCCTTTTCATCATTCACAGGGAAATGTTGGTTTGTCAGGAAAACCCGGACCAAAAGTAAGTGAGAACTTACTATTTTGCTTAATTAATACTTTTTATATTATCAAAAAACAATGTTGATTTAATACTGCTTTTATTACTGTATATAAAGGATTTTGTATTTTAATGAAAGTCATGTGTTTGTCCAGGGGCATGATGGCTCTAAAGGTGAAAAAGGGAGTATTGGGTTACCTGGCAATCCTGGAGAACCAGGATTAAGAGGTAAAGATGTAAGTAAATCCTGAGTGGCTGTTAAGTATTTTCCTTACAAGGGGTTTATTTAGAAAAATGTTACGTCAGGAGAAAACTCATAGTATTAATTTAAACAAAAGACATAAGTAGAATAATGATAAATGTCTGGTAAAGTTTTGCTTGTTCACTTTTTATTCAGATATATACTGTATATGTTTATGCAGTACTTACATTGTAATAGTGGTAACCACTGCTGTTGACTTTGTGTGTAGGGTTCTCCTGGAGTGAAAGGAGACCTAGGAATTAAGGTACAGTCGTGTTGGGCAGTGATGTTGCTCAGGAGGTTATCTGGTTGAGTGATGATTTATAATCAATGCAGTCAACTTTCCTAACTTGAAAATGTAGTGAAAAAGTGAAAATGTAATTTTGTCTTTCACAGGGGGAACAAGGACCACATGGAGACCCTGGTGACAGAGGAATTAGGGTATATCTTTGTCTTTGTGTGTATAAATATAAGAAAGTAAAATAATACACTTATAAACATACATAAAATACCCCCCAAAACAACAACAAAGACAAGACAGCTGTCTTATAAAAAAAACATATGCATACATTATTATTATATTTAAAACAAGTTACATAAATTGTGTGGCTGAGCATGTTGATTGGTGAAGTCTGACTACAAGAGTAATTAGCTTTCTACCCACAATCAGCAGGGCCTCATCACTTCTTATAGAGTGCTCTCTGGCACAGAAGGGACTAATAAGTGAATAATATAGCAGAAACAAAATGGAAGTCTGCTAATTGTGTGTTATTAGTTAGATTTTTATCAGAATTAGGGTTATTGCCAAATAAGTTTTCATTGGAATTTGTCTTGGTGTTTTGTTGAATAAAAATAAATATAGTAAGTAGAAGATATATAAAATGATTTCTGACGTCTTTCTGTTTGATTTGTCACTTGTTTATATTGCATTTCTATATCTCTTTATTTCCACCCTCAAGCTTTATGACTCTTATTCTGAAGGGTGCCACTTTACATCTTTAGTGAACCAAAAAATATAGCATCTAATTTTACAAGTTTAATTTTGTATCTACTATAATGTCACTTCAACAGCAATGCAAGGCTATACATTCTTTTTAATTCCTTGATTGATCAGGGTCCATTGGGGTTACCAGGGCGACCAGGGGATCCAGGAGAGAAAGGAGAGACTGGCAGTCCTGGCCTGCTTGTGAGTTCTTTGAATTTTAAAGACTAAACCTTGAAAGAAATATATTTAACTATCCATTTTACTTTCTTCTCTGTGGAAGTTACACGTCAAAAACAAAACCTTTCTCTTCTATTTATCCATAAATCTCTTGAATAATTGCAATGCTGTGATTTTCCTTTTTCAAAGGGTACTGATGGAAAGAAGGGCGACAAAGGGGAGCCGGTATGTTTGTATCCACCATCATCTCTCTCTCTCTCATTGATGAGCATGTTCATTGTTTCTCTAGGTTTACGCCTGCTGATCATTCTTCTGTGTCAGTCACCATGCCACATCTTCACAACTTGCTATCGCCCTGCGACTTCATAATTTCTATTTTGATATGTTCAGTAATTAAGTTTGTTTTTTTGTGTGTGCCACCCTTCAGTGCACCTACTATTTTTCCTTTGTGTTGCAAATACAGATTGTGTTTAGCGGTGTGACATTTTAGATTTTAACTCTGTTTTCTTTTGCTCTTCTTTTGACTGTGCTGCTGCTGTCACAAAGGGAAAACCTGGACCTCCGGGAGGACAAGTAAACAAACCTCTGTTATCATTTTTGACAGCTTCTCATCAGTTAAGCCATGTTTGACAAAGGCATTCGTTGTAACGAAGCTCATAAAGCTCCCATAAGACCTTGGAAAATGAATATGTGTTCCCAGACAGCGGAAATTGTGTATCAATTAGCAGGTTCACTATGGATTTTTCATTTTGTCCCTCCAGATTATTGCAGACAATAACATACTGACCAGAGTTATTAAGGTAGCTTGAAGTGTTATGTGCAACATGCTTTATTTTTATTTTTATTTTTTAAAGGAGGGAATTTTAATTTCTCATCTCTCCTTCTTTCCTTTGCGTTCCTTTCCTTCAGGGTGAACCAGGAGAGCCAGGTCAGCCTGGTTTGAGAGGAGAAACAGGTCTGCCTGGACCAAGGGTGAGTATCCTATAGCTTGCTGTGATAAACATACAGACTACAAGTTCAGAAGCACGCTGACCATTACTACCATCAATAGTAGTGTAGTCCTACAAAGTATCACATAGAGCTGAAACAATTAGTTTATTAATTGATTAGTCAGTTGACAGAAAAAATACTGCAACAATATGGATAATCAATTATTTGTTATAGTCATTTTTCAAGCAAACATGCCAAACATTCTCTCTGTTCTATATAATAGAAATTTGAATATCTGCTGGTCAAATATAATGAGACATCAATATACATTACCCAGAGCTTTTTATTTATTTTATAGACTAAATAACTACTTAATTTATAATGAAAATAAGTCAGTATAGTTATAGTTGTTATTATATATTTTTTTCGAATCTCTTAACTAACTTGACATCTGATTGGAGTTCTAATGTTTGTAGGAGACAATAATAATCAAGCTTTCTTGAATCTTTTGAATCATCCCAATAATGAAGTAATCAATATTTGCAGGGTCCAGAGGGGAAACCTGGATTACCGGGACCATCTCTGGTGCGTGTATACGTCATTTTAAATAGCTATTATTTTGTATTATTGTGTGCTGTTTATATCGTACATTTGTTTAAAGATGTGTATGTGTTGAAAAATGAAACCGTTTGCTCTGCAGGGTGGTTCTGAAAGAGATGGACTTGATGGTTTACCAGGGAAACCGGGAATGAAGGTCATACAAACTTGCACACAGTTTTACTTGTATTTTTAAAATCTGCCCATGTGATTTGCATTGAGCATTGGGCCTTTACAGTATGAGCTTACTCACAAGATGCTTCATAATAACTGCAGGGTGACCAGGGACAAAAAGGAGAACCCGGCATGGTGAGTGCACCAGTGTTTTTATATGTATGTATAACCATCACACAACATGTAAGGCAACATGTTAAATTTAAACTGTAGTATCTTATTAGTACTTTTTTGAAAGGATTAACTGGTCATCCCTCAGGACATGTTGATAATCCATCACATGGAAACTGTGGAGAGATCATTTGATTCACTTCAGTGCAATTAGACACATATTGTAAGAACTCATGTGATCTCATCAAGCGGTTGTTTGAGTTTGTGACTCAGGTGCTGTGACGTTACCAATCAAAAGATTATGATGTTGACAGAACATAAAAGCTCCTTGTTATGTAGTTAGGTGAATTACAGTATATTTTGTCACCTACACAAATACATGTATGAAAGGCACGTTCTTTGAATCTCAAAGCATTTTAACTCAGATCTTTTATCACACTTTAAATATCATGCATCCATGCACTTAAGATGTTTTATGTTTTTGTCGTGATGCTTTAATGTTTTTTCTAATGTCTTTGTCAGCTTTATACTATTCTGAAGAAATGTGATTTCATTTTAACAGTTTTTTCTTTTGCTGTTGACATAGCCCATAAACTTAGATACTTAGAGGTGTTTTTCCCAACTGTGTGCCATAAGTAGGAAAGATGTTTAAATTCTGTGTAAATGCAGAAATGGGAGATGATGCCCATTAAGAATGGCAATAAATAGAATATCTGGTTCCTGGGACGGTAGTAAAGGGCAACAAAATAAACTTCGCTGGATCCCATTTGGATCTCATTCATGGCTCCTTCAGTTTTATACATCTCAGGTATATTTGGCACCGTACATTTGGCCAGACTGTGGTTTAGTATTGGCTTAGCAGAGATGTGACGTAGATGAAACATGCAGCAGAGCGGAGACTAAAAGCTTCACTAATACATAGAATAGAGCAAATTATTATGTGTAAAACGAGAGTGTCGAGCTAAGTCTAGTGAAACTCAGTCTCAATCATGCTAGGATGAGAAGCAGGCAAGTGGGGCCGTTTTATTGGAATATAGCTGAACTTTTGTTGGTGGAAACTGTCTAAATGATACAAGACGTAGCCCAAATGATCACAACTAGCCCAAAACAAATTTTACCCTCACCTTCAGTTGAAAACCATGCAATTTGGAACCACTGGTTGGGAATAAGTATGGTGTCTTTTCTGCAGTAAATGTGAAAGCAGAACTGTTGTGGAGAAGAGGAGCATATACTTCCCTGAAATATTACACATGTTGTTCATTCATGTCATGCCGATAATTTCATTATTTGATTTATTAAGTCCTTTTACATAACCCACAGTAAAGATTTCACTAGTAATCTATATGCTGGGTTCCTTTTTTTGCCTTTATTTATTACTTTATTTACTCCTACCTATTTGAGTATCTTTTTAACAAGTACACAAGGCCATTATGGATTACGTTCAAAGGATGTCCTACACTTGTTGGTCCCCTGTAACCGAACAGAATTAGGTAAAAAAGCCTTCATGTTTGCTGCACCTTCTGCTTGGAACCTTCTTCAGAACTCGTTGAAACTGACTGCCTTTATTTCTTATAGCAGTTTGTTTCAACACTGAAGGATATGGATGTTACTTATGTATGTATGATTGATGTCTTTTATATGTTGGAAACTTGTCCTTTATGTCCTTTTATACTGCGTCTTGGCCAGGTCTCTCTTGCAAAAGAGATTTTAATCTCAATGAGACTCACCTTGTTAAATAAAGGTTAAATAAAAAAATAAATAATAAAAAAATGATTTACTTGTTAGTGTTTTATACCAACGCTTGTACTTCATATAATTTCAAACGGTTTATTAAATGAAAGGTTTGTTTTTGTATGTGTGCATGTGAACAGAAGGGCGATAAAGGAGACCAAGGCCGGGTTGGGATTGCTGGAATGCCTGGTTTACCGGGAACTCCAGTGAGTATCACTCTGAATCATGACGCCTGTGGCTGAAACATTACCTAATCATCCTTTATATATTTGTAATGGTGACAGTCAGTACTGGAGTCTACATTCTAGCCAGTATAAGAAGGTATACATGTATTGTTATAGGTATATAATTAGTGAGAGCCTGCTGCTTTTCCACCACAATAATCAGAAAAATATCTCCAGAGACTGATGTTGTTTTATTTCCTCTGCTCTACAGGGGAGACCTGGCATTGATGGGAAGAGGGGCCTGCCAGCAAAAGATGTGAGGGCATTTTCATCAACAGTTACAGCACTATGCTGTGTGATACCAACTGGATGACTTTGATGCTTGACATCTATGTTATTTTGACATTTTTGCAAACACTGAGATTTTCAAATGTGTTGCTGTTTTAAGGTGAATTATTAAAATAATTTTTTTTTCTTTTCACAGGGAGAAAGAGGGCCAAAAGGGGATGATGGCAAAAAGGTCCTTAACATGTATTGCAACCAACCAAAACATTTATGAAGCCATTTTTTTGATACATGTGGTAACTGTGCTCTCATTCCAGGGAGACAAGGGAGATGCCGGCGAAAATGTAAGCAGTTTTGAACAAAAAATGAATAAAACAAACTCTGTGAGAAATCTGAGGTTACACCTTTAAAACATCTCACTTTCTTCACAGGGTAAAGATGGAAGAAAGGGGGAAGCAGGACCTCCAGGTTTGCCTGGTAGGCAGGTGCTTGTCACTCCAGAGGTAAAAATGGTCACCTGTCAACTTGTCAATGATTTATTGAACGGCGAAGCAGATTTCTTACTCTGTATTCAGGGTTATACTGGTATCATTATTACTATGGCTCATTTCTCATTGCTGGCGATTCAGAAAAAATGTAAGCAGGTCCACCTTGACCTGCCTGGCTACTTAAACCTTACTTTTTATGTGGATCCGTTCTCAGGGCGCCACTATTGACGAACTCCGCCAAGCATTTCCGATCCCAATGGGTCCTCCAGGAGCTACTGTGAGTTTAATGTTTACACACAACATGTTTCTAGATATTTTTATTTCGTGAATAATGGCAAATTATTTCGGCTGTTGCATGGCATAATGCATATTTTGCCCAGCATGGCGTCTTAGTCATCTATAGTGCTTTTATTGTGGGTTGCAATGAGTTGTACCAGTATCTGCCATCAGATATGGCGAGCTTGATGTCATGCATTGTAGATGCATGTTCCAATGTCTTGCTCCTCTGTTTCTGTGTGTTTAGGGTTCACCAGGAATGAAGGTAAGATGGTAATGGAGTGTATACTGAAACACAGTCATAAAAAAACTGATATATTGGCTGTGTAACTCATTTGTCTTTTTTTGCAGGGTGATAAAGGAGAAAATGGCCTGAAAGGAGACAAGGTAGTGCTTGAACGTTATCCCTCAAAAATATAGTCTATGGAAATGGAAATTACATTATTTTCACTGCACTTAATTTAATGTTTCTGCAGGGTGATGCTGGAGCTCCTGGGAAATCAATTGAGATGAAGGTGAATACACAATGTAGTAATTCCTCCTCTGGGATACATGCTTTCTTTTTGCACTTTGAGCAGCATGTTTTCTTCCTCTTTAGGACATTGAAGTGATGTTTGAAGCCTACGGTATAAGGGTGAGCTCTGAGCATGGCATTGTACAAACTTTAAGGTTGATAGAGTTCATAACAGGATCTTGACCTTCTCAATAAAAACACTTTTTCTCAGCTGCCTTTGCTGAAGGCTTTGATTGACAGGCTACTGCAGGACGGAATAGAGGAGCTGCTTCATGTGCTCGGCACCTCCAAGAAAACAAAAGAAAACACACACACCTCCAACATCATCACTGAGTACACAGTATGTAAATAGTCCGTATATGTTATCAAATGCATTTACTGAATAACTTTCAATCCTTTCATCTTTCAGTAATCAGTTTCATGGTCTCTTTTTTAACAACAATTAATATCATAATCCCATATGGATCACATTTATGGCTCAATGTTATTCAATGTTATACATGCGAGGTATATTTGGCACCATATATTTTGCCAGACTGGTTTAGTATTGGCTCACCAGAGATGTGATGTAGATGAAACATGCAGCAGAGCAGAGACTAAAAGCTTCACTAATACATAGAATAAATCAAATTACGATGTGTAATATGAGATTGTCGCTCGTAGGGACATTTGAGTAATTTGTATCCTACTCACTCTTATCCTTTATGTCATTAAACAAAAGATCCCGACATTTCCAAAACAAGGAAAGTAAAAAATAAAATGATGCTTGTTTTTTATTTGTGTTGTCTCAACAGAGTTCAGTGAAGTTTGAACTCACTGACCAGCCACTGTCAGAGCTGGATACCATTGAGGACCGTGAATTAGAACAACACGTTACAGAGTCTTTGTCATTTGTAAGTAAAACCTCAAAATCTCCATCTTGAGTGTTTAAATCTTATTTTCCTAAAGTAAGGGGGGGGGTCTGCCTGTATAATGAGATTACTCAACCTGTTTCCAAGACAAATCAACTTGTCTCCAGGATTTTTCTCAAATGAAGAGGTTTTTTTTGTTGATATTTTTTATGTTTTAAGAAAAGGGTGCAAATTACTCTGAAAAAGAAATTTCAGGAGACAAGGTGCTGTAGGCCCATTCTTGTTTGATTATAATAAACTTCAGCAACACTTGTAGTAACAGTACAACTTTATTGTAAAAAAAATATATGAAGAAATACTCATATCTTTAGACAAACCCCTTACCTCTTTACCAATTTGGGAAAATGATTAACCTGAAACAACATGTCCATATACCACACCCATCTTTAAGTGAAATCCCCTTGGCAGCCAAGTTTGCATATGTATAGGACTGTAAAAAAACTCCTACTCCTACTAAACAAAATTCCTACTCTAATCATATCAGTACTCTATAATATGATCTGTTGTCATCTGTCATTACACTCCACCTGTGTATTGTCTCAAATATGCTTCTACCACAAGTAGATGCTACTTGTCCCAGATAACATATTCTCTGACTTCTACTTATTCTGTCTTCTCATGTGAAGGACCCTTTAAATGAAACCGCAGAGGGTCCCACTTTATGGACTGTCACCACACTGAGCAGAGAGCGGGAGCTCGACAGGATTGAGACAAAGTTAAAGGGATCCACAGGGAAGGAGGTAGTTGGTGGGGACAGTGACGGAGCCTCTTCTCTCAAAATAAATCTGACTGTCAGTTCTGCTTTCAATTATACAACGACCCAGGAGGTAAGGACTTTTTACAATAAAGTATACCAACTTTAAATGTGAAAACAAGCTGAGTACATTAGACATGTTAATCATTTTATTGTTTATATAGAGACTGGCATATATAGATAATTTTTCAGCAACATTTGAAAGTCGTACATATTACAACTGGGAGCTTTTAAATGTGTACACAGTGGGATCTGAGTTCAAAAGTAGCTTAGTGCCTTGTTTTCAAATTATTTTCTCTATATCTCTCCCATTTTCACTCAGACTCTTTATTTTCACACATACAGAAAAATTATAATGAATAATAATAATTAAATAGATGGCCACAATTTCTGAAAAAAACCTAAACAAAACACAGTTTGTCTAGCATCTATGTTCTGCTGATTGCCAAACGCTCAAAATTCAAATGTGCATGTCAGACGGTTTCAGGGTTACCAGAAAATGTGGTGGAGGCTGTTCTCCTCACTCAGGAAGACTCTCTGAAGAAGAACTCAGGGCAAAAGAAAAACAGGGAACGTGGGAAGGTAAAGCTACCGTGGACACGTTAATCGATGACTGGCTTTCCTGATCATAAACAAGCATGAGTATTGTTTCATATATTATATTCACCATAAAACGTAAAATACTCCGGGGATAATTTTTTAACAAGTGTAATTATGTTTCTTGACTGTCTTTCATAACTTTAATGTATATTATTGAAGGAGCATATCGGTATTGCATGTTTTAGCTCACCCTTCCTACCTTCCAAGTATTTACAGATTTCAGTTATTGCCACTACGGTGACTTACTTACAGAGACTTGAAACTTGTTTTTTCTTTTTTTGACAATGTTAAGGTATTGTCGCTTGGTAATGCAGATGGCAGCAGGGGCTTTTCGGAAAATAATGTAGATGTTTTTTAAAGACATACAGACATCCTGGTGTTGAAGTACTAGGATTACCTTCCTCAAAAAAGTCTGTTTGTATGTTTCATTTTGCAATTGTTCCTTGTATATATAAATTGCATTATAATTAATTGCACTGCACCAGTTCAACAATTTCATAAAACAAAGCCTGATGTGATCTAAAATCAGTGGCTGCCTGGAAGGAAGGACATCAATCTAGGCAATTTATGGCACATTTCATTACAGGTAAACTAAATGTGCTTTGCATTAAAGTGCATACAAAATGTGACATGAGAACATAGTAGAATGTAATGAGAGAATCTAATACATTTACATTTTGGAATGAATCCAAAAATGGTCATCAGTAACGTAAAGTATATTTGATTTGTAATAAATGGGCTGAAACATGCAAAACCGTCAGTGTAGTCCTACAAATAGATCTAAACCATTTGTTAACTTTAACACTAAGGGTTCCTAAACTACTTGTATGTGAAGGTGTTGCATTTATTTTTGATTTTCATTAACTATCCCCCTCTTGATTATCTCCCCCAACTCAAAATATCAACTCATAGTTTTGTACTTGATCGTCAACATCTGAAGCATGAAAATCTTTTTCTGTGAACTTCTTAACCAGGGCAAAGGAAATAAAGGACGACATAAGAGGCAGAGACAACGCCTGGTAAATGTCCTTGAAGGGGTCAAACTAAACCTGAAAACATTGCCATACCCCCAGCTAAACAAACAAACAAACAAAAAACCCAAACTAACACAGCCATCTCACCCTGCAAAATGTAAACACATGGCTAACATGACATTAACATGTCAAGCATAACATAGCAATTACAGCTTTAGCACTAAAAATGTAATACAAATAATCATAATAAACTAACATTTTGAAAATATAACACAATTAACCAGTTACTTTATACATGGTGTGACTAGTAAAACTAAAAGCATGCATTTGTCTCAGCGTTCATGTACGTCTCATTATATACAGAACAAATTAGAACATTTTGATTAATGGGTTTCTTTGTAGTCGCTTGGCATTGTTGTCTTCCAGCCATTGACACAAATGATAAATTATGATCTCCAGCGGTATCTTCCTGTAATTATTGTCATGTCTCCTTTCTCTAAAGACAAGTGAAGAGGACAAGCAAGACGAAGAGGAGTTTTATAACGGCGAAGAATACAGCTATGAGTACGAGGTGGGCAGCTGCAGCAATGAATGACTAATTCCTGAACGGTGGGAAACTTTGATTCATGATGTGAGATTGGAGCGTTGCCGTAGTGGGTGCCTTCTTGTTAACAGACCTGTCAAACTCATAATCAAATCGCCTGGGATTTTTCGTGTCTTTTTTTGTAGCAGTGTGTCATCTGTGCCCACACTAAATGCTGGAGCGAGTTGATTAATGACACGCCCACTACCTGAATTGATTATTAAGAATAAATTAGTTTGTCATTACATCCCACTGCATGTTCTCTGCACATCATCCGCTGGAGTGTCTGTAAGTTGTGTTGGAGTAGTGTTTAAAAGCTATGATGAAATACTTTTCTTGTTCTAAACAGGAAGAACTCTCCACAGATGCTTTTCAGGAGAGCAGAGACAACAGACAGGTACATTTGCTTCAAACAGCATGCTCTCATCTGTTTCAGCTGGGATGGAGTTAAAATGTGCTGATTCATTTTTAATGTAAAATATGTTCCATATTTTTATTATATGCAGCTTGAAGTCCAAACAGATGAATTTCCCTATCCGGTGGATAAAAAGGTGAGCATTAATAATTGTGTAGCCCAGATGATAAGAAAAACTAATTTGCTGTTGCAAGGCTGACACTGTACTGTGATAGAAAGGGAGCACAGACAGCTGAGCTCAATTCTGTGCTGCTCTGCAGTATCTGAAGAATAATAATAACATATTTCTGCTGTTTTTGTCTTTTGTAGGAGGAACAATTACCCACACACAGACCTGCCCAGTTAGAAACCTCCAGTCATCCTTCAACATCCTCCTCAGACAGAGAAACAGACACTATGCTCAATGTATGATGTATTACGAAATGAATCTGAAACACATGAATGAAAGCATTTGGTTTGTCAACAGCTATTTTAGTGATCAGCAGTTTATCACAATTTGCAGTGAGGAAACAACGAAAATTATCAAAACCAGTCAAAATACCTCATCCCAATACATCCGCTGAAAGAATAGTACAGGACAGGACAGTAAGACAAAGAAAAGGGTAAAACAGGGAATAGTTGTCCATAAATGCCAAGAAATGTTGTATCTCCAGTGTCCATAGTGGCCGTAGTAGAATTGTCCAAAAACGCTGAAGTTGTTTGTTCACTGACTCAGCCTGGGGATGTCCAGTATGATTTAGATAACTTCAAAGTTCAAGTAAGCTGCACATACAGCCACACTCAGAGGGCCACATAAATCAAGAGAATATACTAAGCTGCTGCCATCCATTTACTTTCTGGTATAATAAATAAAGGGATCCCAGATCTTAACAAGTTTACAAGTTTATAAGTCAGTCGAGGAGTCACTAATCACTGAGCCATTTCGTAAAACAAGATGTCTGTGAAGATTCTCAGTCATCCAGGTCATAGTTATCCAAGGAGAGTCTTCTTCACTCCAGTTTGGACCTGAAGAAGCCCCTCGGATAAGAGGTCCACGTACCCTTGATCTTTTCCTTCCTTGGATTCTTAAAACAAGGAGCGAGGGTTTATTTTCTATTCTTTCAAATAACCATTTTTTGCTGTAACCATACAAGTCATTAAAAGTCTGTTGGGTCTCCTTACATTGTGTGTATGACATAATGTCATATCAGCTGAGTAAATGTAAAAAAAAAAACTTTTTAAAGCATTTTAACAGCAGTCGGCACGCAATTGAACCCATCCAAAAGATGGCGTTGTTTGGAGCTGATTGGAAATGCCACGTATAGATTTTTACTCAACATGTTGCTTCACTTTTTAAGTGTTTCTAACTGTCACATTCTTATCTGTCCTTTGCTGTTAGGACCAGGATGAAGCATCACTGCCTACACCTCCCATCACAACAGAAGACCCAGACAAGGTAGAGCTGTGATCTTAAATCATACAGACTTGAATCCTAACTGAATGTTTCTGAAGGTCCTTGCATGCCTTGGAATGCAAATCTTTTTAATTTACACTTAACACAAGAACATGCTTTCTTCTTGTCATAAAATATAGTATTCCATAAATAAACCAAGCTTTAAGTAATATAGAAAAAGCACTTCACATTATATTTCAAAACCTTTTCTTCTTTCTACCTACCATGAAAATTTCACCAGTGTAAAAGTTGCACGTTTGCATAAGACTAATATTATTCCATCATAGAAAATTTTAATTCACAAAATTACCAACGCATGAGATAGGACAACATTTTTCGAGCAGCATGCTTTTAGCATGATTTCTCTGAAGCTTGTCTGAATGCGAATGAGCAGAAACCGTAGCCTTGTCCGACTCTTTAGGAATGATTTACTGACAAATAAAAAATCCCAGAGAGTTACTTTTAATACTTTCTCTCTCTCATTTTTTTTAAACAGGACATCTCTTAATTCCCAAGAGACTGTGACTATAGCGTGTTAAGCATTCATAAGAAAGCACACACTGCACGGAGAGTGTGACTAAACTGTGAACTGTTTTGCTGGTGAGGAGCTCTGACCCTGACCAACGTTTCATGAGGAAGGACTTCTTTCCACACAGACACGATGTCAGTCACTCAAACCTATGGCCATACCAAAGTTACCTTGATACCTTGTATCAGGGCAAATTTTTTCAGTAGAACTCTGTAGAAAATCAGGCACCAGCAATATCAGAATTGTTTCTTTGTGTCCAGGTTATTTTCATTCTTTACTTGGTTCAGTGTAATCACCAGTGTAGCCTTTACTTTACTTACCTTGTCTAACTTATTTATTAAGACATATATATTTTTCTGTAACAAATAAATGTCACAGCACATAAAACACAACAACAAAACATGTGTCAACAATTTAAATAAATTTTTCTTTGAAGCTGTAATGAAATTTTATTTATTAAAACATGGAAAATATCTTTTGTTTTTAATTCGCCAAACATCGTTAGATACCATATTATTTGAAATGTAGTGGTACATAAGCAATTTTGTAGCCAAATCAAACACTCTTTTCACTGGTGAACTTTTTCCCTGTTTTTAAATTGTTCTGTCTGTGTTTAACCTCTCTGTGCATGTATCCATCAGTAAAAATGTTTAAATAACTTTCTAAGCAAGTCTGTGTCTTTCTTTCTTACATGTTTACCATCATGTACATCAAAGCACACATTACTACAGCTGTTTGATAGTACGCATCAAAATGATTGCACTACATTTGCTCATGAGATTTTTGGGGGCCTTGACAGGTGCCTAGATCCCACATCAGGGTGAAGAAAAGCCCCCCTGGCCTGATTTCATGGTAAGTGTCACTTGGTCATGTAGAAGTCAGACTGATAATAATAAAAATGGCAGTACTAATCATTTTAAAATTTTAGGTGTTCATGCCTGGTGCCCCGGGTGGAAGAAATCGTTTCATGGAGGCACAAAAAGTAATTTCTTTTTCACTTTGCAGTGTTTAAAAAATGAAAACTTCATACATGAGACTCAGTTTGAAAAATATTAAAGTGCAATTTCATGGTCACTGTCTGTGGACAGCAAATGAGATTGCCCCTTCACTTTAATTTCAGCCTCTGTCTTCTGGAGCTCAAGGTTACAACAGCTGGAATGTAAGTCTGTTATCAACAATTTAGATAATAAGTATTATTCCAAATAAAGATGGTGCAACTTATAAATACATTGATTTATGTTATAAAACTTCCAGAGCAAGAAGCAAGAAAACCCTGACCTTCAAATACATACCAGGAGGCACAGGCAAGATTGGAAGGAGAGACAGCGACACAGTGATACAGAAAAAGAGTTTTATGCAGAAACACAAGGTGGAGGAGAGGTGCAGGGTAAAGCTGAAGAAGCGGAGAAGTTAGGAATGGAGCAAGATAAAAGAATAGAAACAGATGGATATACACAAACAGGCCCTGATCCAGTCTATGGGGAGGAGGAGAGGAGTGGAGACTACAACTGGGAGACTGAGGAGGATGTCGATCGAGAGAGGGATGGAGAGGAGGAGGAGCTGGAGAGGGAGAGAGAGGGAAAGGTTGGAGATGGAGAGAGAGAGAGGAGCTGGAGAGAGAGAGGGAGGCCGAGCTGGAGCTGGAGAGAGAAAAAATGGAGAGGGAGGAGTGGGAGAGGAGGAGGGCGGAGCTGGAGAGACGGCGAGAGGGGGGTTATGACGAGGAAAGTGCACAGCCATACCCATACCCTCCAGAGTATTTTTACCTGAAGGTAAGGGCACAAAGTATTCATCTATAACACCATCATCATTATGAAATACTCAACTTGTGATATAAGTTCAACAGTAGGCAGAATAAATGTCTGTTTATTTAAGCAATGCTGTTCTAAACACTTTTTATGCAATAGGTCAACAAGGTGAGAGTGGAAAACCAGGACAAAAGGTGACTAAGATACTTTAAACATTAAGACAAGACTTTTAAACATTACCCATTGTAAAGCTGAAGACACAATCAAAGCTGTTACGTTATGAAGGTAAACATTCCAGTTAGTATTACAGGACACATATGCAAAATAAATAAACTTTTATTCTGTCTTAATGAAATTTAAAAAACAACAAAAACTAAGTGTGTTTAAATTTTGGCAATCCTGATTTAAATGGTCAGTTCACCTAAATGGCAAAAAGCATTTTCTTACTTACTTACATGTATCTAACAATGCAATGCTTTTAGTTGCTGTAGGAAGCTTTGAGCTAGGGAGCATGCTAATGTTAACAAAAACGCTAAATGCTTTCAATCAAAACCCGAACGCCAACCCGCTGGTGGTGTTGGAGTAACAGGGACATTGTTCAGTTTCTAAAAGTATTTTTTCAATGCCATGCCCCACAAACAAACATCCATTCTTTTCCAATGAATCTCAGAGCTGAAACATGGGCACATAACCTGAGAAGAAATATTTTTTGTTTGGTAATATGGGTGAACTCACTATTTAAACTGAAACATATCCTCCCATTGTCAGGATATACTGAGTCACCGATATCGTCCCCCTGATTATGCTGAATTAAAGCATCATTATCATCATCCTAAGATCACAGAAAAAGAATAACAGTCGCCACACGAAATGTGCCACCAGTTCATAAAAATATCATTGCGGCTCTCCCCATGTACCCACATTGCATCAGTAAATGACATCAGAGCTCAGGGAGAACTTCTCTCGTGTCTCGCCTGTCAGTAAATCAGTTGACTCCAGGCCTTTGATGTTCCCTCTGCTCTATTTCTGTTGACTGTGAGACAGTAGATTAAAGCAGACATTAATAATTCCCCTTGTAAAACATGCTGGCAAGTTTTTTTTTATTTCAAATTCCTCTGTGTTGGTTTATTTTGGCTCATGAAAAACAATGTGCTGTGGTGCACTTTAACTTTCTAGCTGATATGTGCTCTTTTTGTCCACACTTTTTCAGGGTGAAATTGGTGAAAAAGGACAAAAGGTCAGTGTTTACTCATAAGCTGTTGTTTGCGCCATTTGTATAGTTTGTTGCAGTGAAGTCCAGGAGCAGAGATTTTAATTGAAAGGAATGATTGTGAAACATTATAGAGACATGTTTTGTGTTTGTAGGGAGAGCCTGGCATCGGCCACAGAGGTCCAGAAGGCCAAGCTGGTCCTCCAGGACAGAGGTGAAACCTCTTTCCTCACTCTTAAAAAGTAAAAGAAAGAAAAGAAAATACAAGCATTTTCTTATTTATAATGTCCTTTCTAAATCAATTAATCCCTGCAGTCTTTTCCATGACATTTACTTTGATTGACTTTGTTTCCCATCATGGTTTTAATTTAGGGAATTTAATTGCCTCAGTGACTCACTCTCTCATTTAAAATTGGGTTTGAGCATGTAAACTGATAAAAGAAAAAAAGTTTATTTGAAGGCAATTATTCAAAAGTAATAGAAGAGACTATTAATTACATTACATTAAACAAGTGACCTTTAACTGTGTGTTTGTCTTTCAAACATTTCAATTGTCCCTATCTTTCTCCACCTTTTCCCTCTCTTTTCGTTACCTTAGGGTGAACCAGGTGAGTCCGGGCCACCAGTGCTCAGGGCATCCAGGGTATCCGTGGTAATGCAGGCATCCAGGGCTCCCCAGGCCTGAGGGTCTCCCAGGGGACCCAGGAGAGCCAGGCAGAGAGGTACATCATCATGTATCAACTTACAAGTTGCCATTTAGCTCACTTTGATCAGACAAAATGAAGACGGTGAAAGTATGTGAAGATGATTTGTAATTGTGAATGAATGCAGAAATGGAAAGAGAAAGTCGCTCTATTGGGTTTAAAAGAGACATAAGATGTTTTGTGCGTTGGTGCAGGGTGACCGAGGTAAAAGGGGGAAGAATGGATCACCTGGAACCCCTGGACCTCGAGGAGCAGCAGGAGCTCTTGTAAGAAAATACAAATGATCTAAATGTTTGCAAGTGCTGCATCTGATTTTGTGTTTTTTCATGGAGCCGCCTTCTCTAAAAGAAATACACTTACAATCGTGAATATTTAAGTTTCACATATGGAGTATGACTAAAAACCCTCTCAAAACATTACTGGACTCTGTTTTATCATTATGTAATCTTAGGGACATTTTAATTTTAAGATTAGTTAATGATGTTTTTTTTTTTGTTCTATTTGCTCTGAAAAAGGGTCTGCCTGGTATACCTGGAGTAAAAGGAGAAAAGGTACAAATACTGTGCATATAAAATTACTTGAATCCGACTGCGCACTGTTATTTTCATTTTGATCTGTTAAAAGAGATATGTCTGTAATAGTTGACTTACAATTGTGGGTTTTTGGTTGCTTCTAAAATGTGCAGTGTGTAAAACGTGTGTGGGGGCTTTTCTTCACCCTGATGTAAAGTTGGTACTTTATCTTATCCTCATCAGGGTGCAGTATCCCTGGAGAGCCTGGCACCAGGGGGCTGGCTGGCTTCACAGGCAGAAAGGTGAGGATGTGAACAGGTTTAGTTTATGTTAGTTGACAAATTCCTAATCTCAGCTATTGTAATGTAAAATATCACACACTTACTGTGTACACAGTTTGCGTAACAGTTTAGGATTGTCTTTGCTTGTCTACCAATTAAGGCTTCTTGCATACAGTATTTAATACTTTTCTGTATTGTTGATGAATTATGCAGAAATCTTAAAATATGTATTTTCTTTTTTAGGGTGAAAATGGCACTCCAGGTGTTAAAGGGGTTCCTGGGCATATAGTAAGCAACTTTTAAAAGCCACACAACTGAGTGTAACATTTCCTTTAAGACCATTAGAGTTTCACTTGGAGTCAAAATCTTTTGTTTTACCTTTTTTACTAGGGTCCAAAAGGCTTGCGCGCAAAGGTGAAAAGGTGAGCTGTCATTTCACATGATGATGAACATAATTGTGTTTGATACAGTACAGCTACACTTTTAAAGTTACTCCTTTCATATGAATCCTTTCACTCAAGTCACTAACCTCATTATTGCCAATACTGGAATACTGTGATGATTGACACCAATTTGGAGTCTCTAATTTCAGCAGACTATAAGAATTTGTAAGTTGTTTAAATTCAGTGGGATTCAGTGCATGCTGCAAACCCTGTTCCGTCTCATTCAGAGGCACCCCTAAAAGTTAATTGAGATGTGAGAACGCCACAGGGCTCTGGAGTCATGTATGTCATTTTGTCCTGCTGAAATCTTCACTTGGGG